TTAAAATAAACAATGAACAAAATGGCTGAGAAAGATTTCTTTCTTTCTTTTATTTTTAAAAAAATATTTTATTCATTCACCTGAGAGAGAGACAGTGAGAGAGGGAACATAAGCAGAAGGGAGTGTGAGAGGGAGAAGCAAGTTCCCTGGCAGGGAGCCCGACACAGGACTCAATCCCAGGACCCTGAGATCATGACCTGAGCAGAAGGCAGATGCCTAACGACTGAGCCACCCAGGGGCCCCTCTTTCTTTCTTGTTTTAGAGAGAGAGACAGCACACGCAAGTGAGGGGAGGGTCAGAGGAAAAGAGAATCTTAAGCAGGCTCCACACCCAGTGCTGAGCCCTACTCAGGGCTTGATCTCACAACGCTGAGATCATGACCTGAGCTGAAATCAAGAGTTGGACACTTAACCGACTGAGCCACCCAGGCACCTCACTGAGAAAGATTTCTTAAAACCATCTTAAAATTTCCCTTATAATTCCTGGAAGTTTTACTCAGTTGAGAGTTTTAAGAAATTCAAAAGCACAAACAAAATAGAAAAACCTTACAGGTTAAATTAGTGAAATGGCAATACACATTAAGTGTTCCTCATTTTTAAGAATCATTTTGGAAGTAAGAAGAATATCATCTCTAAAACTAGTATTAGTAAATACTGTTATTTTAGAACTCCTAGAAAGTAATGGGATTAAAGCAACCCCGACTTGACAATCAGGAGACCTTACCTAAACCTGACTCTGATGCTACATAAATGGGTGTCCTCGGAAAAATTATTTAATAAGAGTGTTGGCCTAGCTTAATGGTTTTTAACTGGAGATGTATATGAAATGCCTGGAAAGGTTTTTGTTTTTCAAAATAAACCTGCTTGAACCTTCTCCCTGAATATCCTGAGATGCCCATGGGATGGGGAGTGGGACAGTGGATAGGAAGTTAGATGGGGTTAGATGGATATGGCAGGTGTATTTGAAAATAGTCAAGGGGCTGGGGATATAGAAAAAATTAGAGTTTAAAATTTGAAACTAGGTGATAGGTACATCGAGGTTCATCACACCACTCTGTCTCCTTTTGTAGGAGGGGGAGAAAAGCTTTCCAGATCTTCTTATACACCTTTAGTACACAGTGCTTCTTAAACTTCAATGTCTCAGACAAGTCACTAGGGATCTCTTTAAATGCATGTTCTGATTTAGTAGGTTGGGAAGGTCTGAGAATCTGAAGTTCTCACAAGTTCCTCGGTGATGGTGTTACTATTGGTCTCTGGACTACATTTGAGTAAAAAGGAATTAGAACACCATGGGACCAGATAATTACTAACTAGAATATTCTATTTCCTCAGCAGGTCATAGGATGGAGTTTCTTGGCCATCATTTGGTAAGTAAAAATATAAAGCAAATCACATCATTTTTATTAATATGTAAAAATGGTAAGAAAGAATATTCATTGCCATGCTTAAAATTACTGTTCAAATAGTCAGTTGAGCTCATCTATGAAATAACATGTCTAGAAGATTATGATGTAAGCCAAGACTTAAGACAATTTAAATAATATCTAGTATCCAACAGATCTAGTGTTTACATATTAAGAAGAGCTTTGTACCAGAACTCTTCTGTCATGTTTCTGCCCAGAGGCTGTCATGATAAAGTTTATTATCAGTTACTGCTTTACAAGTATAAAATAAGTTAAGCTGTCATATTTTTCTCAGGCAAAGATCCTAAGCTGTCAAAGAATGTCAATTTTAAATCTGACATAGAGAAGAAAATTATCTGTTATTCTGACCTCTAATTTCTTGACATTTTAATGCCATAATTGCTGTGGTTAGTGCTGCTTCATGATTTCAACCTGTCAAGGAAGAATGAATCAATAACCTTAAGCCATTTCTCAAATTTTAGCCCTAACTTCAAAGCTCGAAGTTATAGGCAGATTGTGGGATATATATATATGTATATATATATATATATGTATTTTTTTTCAAAAGGGACATATATCGATATTCATATATTAAATATTTATTGTTTAAATCAGTGTTTAAGCATCAAAAAATTCATCTTCCTTAGGCTAGTTGGAGTTTAGTGTAAGATAACTATAATCTTTCTTTGGCTTTATCTATGTGAAATGTAATGATCTTAGTATTTAAAAAACACAAAGACAAACATTATCAAATAAAAGAAATTCATTAAGCTAGATAAGAGGGCTAACATTTTGAACACTGCTTTTTTAAGAGTTTGTGTCCAACCAATTAGGTAGGTATCAACATTGATGTTTTCATAAAAGGTGTTGTGCCTCCTGTAAGGCCTCCTCATAGGGGAAATGTATATGTAAGGGGGTAGAAATGGCTACCAAATAGTGAATATACTGCACTTCATTTCACTTATCTACAGAGTTCTACTGGGTGACAGGAGATGCTAAGCGCTTTTTAGGTTGGCAAACATGTCATGTATTATTCCTCCTTTATAGAGATAGCAATTGAAATAGAGGGAGATCTAATGTCTTGGCCAGCATTAGATAGCTCACAGATTTTAGGTGGGTTCCCATCTATTGCAGGTTCTTAAATGATAGTGCAGTATGTTTTTCTTTTTCCCCACAGAATATCAGTTTTAGTTACTAATATGGTAAGAATGGAGAGTTATACGTTTTTGAGAATGTAATAGGTTTCTGGGGTAGAGGAGATAAGGGTGGGGAGTGGGGAGAGGGACAGTTAACTCATGTCCCTTGATATAATTTAATCTGCTATGGCTACAATGTAATAAGCAGTTCCTTAGCAGTCTTAAGGAGGTAAAGCATCTTCCTAAGCAATCTTGAGTTGACACAGGTCCACAGGGTCAGAGCAAATGTATGTGTGTGCTTGGGCCTCTGCTGGCTGGTGGAAGGAAGGTAACTGTGTTCCAGGTATGGGCACCCTTAGGGTGGATTCTGAGAATGGACATCAAGAGCTTTTGGGTCAGAGAGGCAGGCGAGGAGCTGGGGTGGGAGGACATATCTATCACAGAATGACTCTGGAAGTTTCTCTAGTGGAACCTCAGTATTCAGCAATTCTGTGCTCATAATGAGAATGCTAGAGACAGTCTTGAACTCAGGGCCCCTAGTGCTTGGCAGTCAGCCTCACTATGAGGGAATCAGGAGCAGTAATATATTGTTCAGAGCATTTCTATAATAAGCGAACATCATGGCTGAGCCACTCCCATCCAATAAAAACTTTTTGAAAATTATACATTTTCATGTAGTATTTCATTAGGAAGTCCTATAATTTGATACTTAAGGCCCATACATAGTTTTTTTCCCCACTGTCCAAAGCAATGGTGTGATATTTTATAGAAGCAGGTATTTTTATAGAATTCAAATAATAAACACATATCCATGTAAAGAAAGCCTCAATCCTAATTCCATTTTCTTCTTATTCCCATGTATCACTTTATTTACTCTCATTTAAATGTGAAAAATCTGCTATTTTTCTGTCGATTTTAATGCTGTCTTGCACTTTCATTACATATAATATGCTTAAAATATTTTATTTTCCCGAGAGGATTAACTTGCAACTTTCTTTACAAGGACAGAACTCTATAATGGATAAAAATGTATGATCAGATATTCAGAAGCAAAAAGGTTTATGGTATTTAAAAGGCAAAACCCAATTTGGAGGTGGTCTTGGGATGAAAGGATAAGCTACTCCAATTCTTCTTTTCTGATTCCAAAGGTATTGGTTCTAAAAGGAGGATATAATTTGTAAGGTGTTTACAGAACCGGGCAAGGGTGTATTGTGGAAAGAGTAATTAAGCTCAGAATTATCTCCCATAAAATAATCTGATTACATTTTGTACAGGGGGTTCTAAATCAGGTGAGTGTAATGGTCTGCAGAGAAAATCCCTTCTTTCACCCGTGAATTTCGTAGTATCTGGCTTCTCTTTCCTTCCTTCACTCTTTGCCTCTATCCCCTGCTCCCAGCTTCAGGCACTAATCCATTTCCTCCCACGTACAACATAACACTGCACCTAATAACGTGCTTATGACGCGTTCTCTGAATACTTAGCCCTAAGGGTCCAATGAGCCCCGATCTCGAGCCTCTCTCTTCTCCTCTTCTCTGCTTGAAGCCATGCAAATGGAGTCATTTTGTTTTTGTAGAGGTAATGTAAGAAGTAAGTTTATGGATGCAAATTTTTCTTGTAGAGCTTTGTTTCCCAAATCTACAAGTTCTCCACCTCTAAAATTAAAAGCAAAAAAATAAAACAAGCATTCCCCTGACGGGAAATGTAGCCATGATTGCTTGTTTTGCACACAGCAGATGGCCGCTATCGGGCGGAATGGAGGCTGGGACGTGGCTTCCTGGCAGCGACACTTACCCAGCAGCTGTTGCTCCTTTACTCTTTCACCTATCTGAAGTCATTGTGTGCAGTGTGGAAGTGATTTAAATAATATTTTATATGAATATTTTCCTAAAAATACGTATGCATATAGTAGAGCACATAATTCCCAACTGTTAGCTATAAACTTTCAGGGTAAGAACATACAGGAATAAAAATACTCTACCCTCATCTATTTTATTGATGTATTTTGGAGAACATTCTGGAATAAAATACTATACCCTCATCTATTTTATCAATGCATTTTTTTGAGCATTCTGCCTGGAAGTCTGTAATTTTGCTTTTATTAAGAAAATATATACTGGCAGCTTATTTTAATGTGCATGATTCTTATTCAAATATTCAACTAGGTTTCATTAATAACATGCACAGAGCTTTAAGCATTTTAATGAAGATGCTGAAATAAAACAAGTAAAATAGGGATATTGAAGTGCATTATATGTGTCTACAATTCAAAAGAGAAGAACACAGTAGTCTCATGACTTGGTTTTAACATATAATACTCATTTTCCGACATTGTCAAAACCCCGAAATTTATGTTTCGTAAAAATTTAGGTTGAAAGGAAATTTATACAGAAAGAGATGGAAAGCCAAATTTGTGTTTGAGAGATGAAAGAAAGTTTTGGAATAATATGGGACTTAACACCTACCTCCCTGAGCACAGGGTCAGTGATACTATCCAGGTTCACAGAGCCTTCATAGGTTAAATAGTGAAAAACATTCAGAGCACGGACTGCTTCTGGTCCTCGCTGTTTGTAGCCAAATATAAGGTCAATCCACTGATGGAGTTGGCAAGAAACAAATTCACTTTCCAGGGCCTGCAATGAATGAGTCAAGAAAGAAATAAGAGACTGTACAAACTTAGCAAATCTCCCTTTTTCTTACTTTGAAATATTCTACGTAAAGAAGTACCATATGCTCTTTGCATTACTGTATTTTATCTGTATGTATTAGATGTCCTGTTCCTAGAAATGGCAAAATAATAAAACACAGACCTGAATGAAAATTTTCTCTTTCTAAAATGCTTAACTTTTTTGTGGCTCCATTATGTATAGGATACGATTTTTAATATTAAATAGATTTCTTAAAAAGATGCATTCATGTTCAAAACAAAAATAATCTGAAATACCTGTTTTAATTTTACAATAATTTCATTTCTCATTTTTAGACATTAGTTTAAAACTAAACAATTTCATTAGAAACTTTGATATATACTTATTTTCCTGCCTAAAGTCTTCAAATTTACCACTAACACTACTAAAAGGGGATGCCTTCCTTTGGTTACAAATGAACTCTTGCTTTTACACAGTCTAGGAATCACTGGGCAATTTTACACGTTGGCTAGCTAGTAGGAAATGAATGCAAATTACTGACGTTGTCAAGGATCATACTAAGCTTCCATAAAAAGTCAGAAAAAAGAGAAGGCCTTTTCATTTCCTATGAAGCCATCATAAGCTTCCGGGAGGTGTCCTGACACGTGGGCACGGAGTTCTGTTCATACCTGTGACATGAGCAGTGTCGATTGCTGTATGGCTCTCCATGCCTCTCACTTACTGCACCCACTTGTCATCAATTTCTTACTGATTTTAAGAGCACATTGATTTCAGCAACATGAACACAAGCTGTAGAGCTAGCTTCTTAAATTTCAACTGAGTGTAGCCATATTAAACAATTTTCTAAATTACAGCTGTAACCAAATATGTGAATGAAGTCATTCTCTGGCTTCATGACCCTGATTTCTAAGGCGTTGACACCAATTTGGAATTCACTTAATTAATAAATGATTTCTTAAATCAGCCCTCTGATAATTACATTTAATTTTTTTAATCTATAAAATATCTGAATGATACTTTGCAACTTTTCCTGTGATCACATTTTACCAGCAATTTTATTTCCCTCGACCTCTTGATTTATTTCTTTCAAAAGTTTTGGTATTTTACTTACACCAATTATTGTGGATGTTTCTCATTCAGAAATATAAACAGACTTTATTAAAGGGTAGTTTCTGTACTAAGACTAAACAGAATTCTACATTCTATGTATTCTATATTAGTGGTATTGACATAACAGTTCAGACTAGAATATAGAGAAGAAGACTAAAATATAAGAGCTAGGTTGGTTAAAATTCTGTATTGGTTATGTCAATACTGTTGGTTTGGTCGGTGTGTATAAATGATTCTGTGAGTGTGGTGTAACTAGTTAACAAAGAAAAAAGTCTATTTAGTAATGTTTTCAGTCCTTGGTGCAATAAATGAAAGGATGAAAACCAAAAAATTATGGAGTGGCTTTTGTCCAAATGTATTCAATGGAATTCAAAATAGTAATAAAGTCAGATATGTTACTCAAAGAAGATTTTAGGGGCGCCCGGGAGGCTCAGTCAGTTGGGCAACCGACTCTTGGTTTCGGCTCAGGTCATGATCTTGGCTCAGGTCATGGGTTCTGAGATCTAGCCCCCCCAGATGCTCAGTGGGGAGTCGGCTGGAAGATTCTCTCCCTCCACCCCTCCCCCCACTGGCACGCATGCAATCTCTCTCGAATACATAAATAAATCTTTAAAAAAATAAATAAAGGAAGATTGTACCAACACCATCACATAATCAGTTAAGCAGCAACCATTTCAAATAAATTTTATTGATACCACTAGACATATTTGGAAAGTATTGATGCAATTTAATATTTTTCTGTTAGAGTAAAATAAATATTGAATAAAATGCCTAATGTAGTTGTGAGAGGTGGAGGGAATGATGATTTTTCACTAATTTGAATTTAAAAATAGATCTGTTCTCTTTTATCTCCATCCACTACTTTCACTTCCCTCCTCCACCAGGGACAACATCTGTAATGTATTTGATGTTTCTCCTTTCGTTTGCATGTGTTTTTATAAAACATTACTCGTTATTTGTGTATGTAGTTTTGATTCATCAAAATGGTACAAGGTTATAGATTGCACTTAGTTTCTTACTTTTTCCACGTAGCATTGCTTTTGAAGATCAGCCTATGTCGCTGTGTGTATAGGAAATCTGTTGTTTCTAGTGGCTGCACAGAGCTGCCCCAGCAATGAGCACTAGACTGCCTCTAGCCCCCTGTGACACAATGTTGGGATGAATGTCCTCTCTTGCACCTCTTTTTGGATCTTTGTGAGAATTTCTCTGGGACTCATAATCTGGAGTGGGACTGCTGTGTCCCTGCAGTGGATGTGCCCATTAGTGCCCAGCTGCGCTTCAAGATGGTTGCCCTTGTCTCCACTCCCTCCCGCAGTGCATATAAGGCTCTATATGTCCACAAGCCCATCCACTCTTAGTATTGTCCGGGTTTCTAATTTAGCCAGTGTAACAGATATGAAACAGTATCTCATTGTTTTAATTTGTATTCCTCTGATTAATAAGGAATTTGACATCTTTTTAATATAGCCTTTTGGGTTTCCTCTTCTGTAAACTTGTTCACGTCCTTTGCTCATCTTTTTATGGAGGTTCCTGTCTTTGTGTTGTTATTTTGCAAAAGTTCTTTATGTATTTTAGGTAATAGTTCCTTGTTGGTTTTAAACATTGTAAATGTATGCTCCCAAATGTTACATGTCTACGAACTTTATCCGTGTAGTTCTTCATTGAAAAGAAATTCTTAATTTTGAGCTCATCAACTATTTTTTCTCTTTATTTTTATGCTCTTAGGATTTTGTTCTGAAATTACAAAGATAACTTTTTATAATTTTAATGTATTAGCTTTTTTTTTTTTTTAAAGATTTTATTTGTTTATTTGACAGAGAGCTAGAGAGCACAAGTAGGCAGACAGCAGGGAGAGGGAGAAGCAGGCTCTCCGAGCAGGGAGCCTGACGCGGGGCTCAATCCCAGGACCCTGGTATCATGACCTTAGCCGAAGGCAGCCGCTTAACCGAATGAGCCACCCAGGTCCACTAATGCATTAGCTTTATGTTTATGGTTTTACTTTTCATATACTGGTCTTTAATTCACCTACAGTCTACTTTCACTTGTATGTGGTATTAAATAGGGATCCAGTATTATTTTTGTTTATATGGTAAGTCAGTTTTTCCAATACCTATATTAAACAAACACAATTTTCCTCAGTGGTATATGATGCCATCTTTGGTGTGTGTATATTTGAGACAAAGATATAAAACTGCTAGTGTTTACAAATAGGATAATCTTCCTAGAAAAAGCAATACAATCAGCAGCCAACTTATTAGAACTAATGAAAGGGATGCAAGGTACCTTTTTCTTTCTCTCCTTTCTTCCCTCCCTTGCTTTCTCTTTTCCCTATCCATCCATCTATCTATCCATCCATCCATCCCTCCATCCATCTATCTGGATATATGTGAGTCTACAGCTCTTTCCACTCTTTTTATTTCTATTGTTACCCTAATTTATCTTAATTATCTTTATTTCTCATATATCTTTCTATTTAGTGGGTTTATTCTTTTTCAGTCAATGCAGCTATTCTTGGACCTTTATTCTTCCCTATAACATTTAAAATAAGTGCACATAGATACATCAAAATGATTGTGATTGGACGCCAGTAAATTTATGGGTTAATTTGGGAAAGCTGATATTCGGTTCCCATCCAAGGTCCTAGAATGTCTCTTTACTTACACAGGTTATTTTCTATGTATTTTATTAGAGTTAAAAATTAATATTTTCTCCATAAAGGATGTGGGAATTCTTGGTTAATTCCCAGAGAGTCCATAAGTTTTGATGCAATTACAACATTCTAAAATTACATTTCATATTTGGTTACTGATGATTTAAAAGAATGCCACTGATTTCTTTAAGTTGATTTTGTTTCTGGCAAGTCTTATTAGTTATAACTATAACGTCTTTATTTTTTTCTTATAGAATTGTTCTTAACTTTAAGGACTACATTAAACAATAGTGGTGACATGAAGCATCTTTGTCTTTTTCCTAATCTTGAACAATTAGACTTTTTGTAACACACATATACACACTCACAAATTTTATATATATATATTACATATATAAATACACACTCACACATTACATTATATATATACACACTAACAGATATTATATATATATTGGGGGGTGTTAGATAATATTTTGCTTAGAACTTCTGTATTTATTTACTTATTTATTTATTTATTATTTTTTTTAATAATTTTTTTAATTTTATTTGTTTGAGAGACAGAGAGAGAGAGAGCATGAGAGGGGGTAGGGTCAGAGGGAGAAGCAGGCTCCCTGCTGAGCAGGGAGCCCCATGCGGGACTCGATCCCGGGACTCCAGGATCATGACCTGAGCCCAAGGCAGTCGCTTAACCAACTGAGCCACCCAGGCGCCCCAGAACTTTTGTATTTATATCTATACATGAAATGGCCCTATTTCTTTATTCTTCTTTTCTCCCTTTAACTACTTTTGGAATCAAGATTACACTAGCCTTCACGGATGGCTTGCCATGTTTTCTGCAACTACTTTCTAAAGAAATTATTTTATTATCTCTTGAAAATTTGGTAGAATTTACCTGTAAAATAATATGGCCTCGGATAATTTGGAGATGGGAAGATTTTACCATTTAAATTTCTTTCAGGCTTTTAAGTCTTTATTTCTTTTGGTGCCAATTTCAACGTTTTATATATTTTTTCTCAGTATTTATTTCATCTCAGTTTAAAAAATTATTCATATTTGTTTACAACAATCCTTAATTCAATTTTAAAAAATCTCTAAGTCTATAGTTATTTATCCTATCCTATTCTATATGTTAGAGAGGCAGCAGAGTGAATCAATGAACAATTAATTGTTTAAATAATTTTGCCCCAGGTTTTTTTGGGGGGATTATAAAATTAAATGACAA